AAGGTTGTAGTTATAGAAAAGTTATAATAGAGATATGCCTCAAGTATAAAAGGTTGGTCATATGATATCTGTTGAAAACAAACAACTCTTGGGTCCAAATTTATTACGACATTTCCAAAAACAACCTATTACGAGATTACAATATACTAAGGAATTTACTTGGTTATACACCAACCCAATATGGTTTTGGTAGGTGAAACTAATTCAACAAAATTTATATGAAATGTCAAGAATGAAGAGGGCAACAGATTCTGTGCTAGTAGAAGTTTTGTTTCTTTAAACATATGTTTGACAGACCACAAATAAATTATTATGTGGTAGTAGAATGGTAATGCTAGTAGAATTTTTTTACCTTAACCATTAAGTTGACACAATTGGGGTTACAAATGGGACGCAACTATTATCATTTACCTACTTACTTTGCTGTCAGTTAGATGTTTTGGTCCTGTTACATAAGATTTCCCCAACGTGTAGTACAAACAAACTTTGTCTTTCGGAAAGTGTTGTACTGTTTGTTGTTATTACTGTAGTAATTGTGTTTACACTTTTATTTCACTTTTGGCCATGCAAACATTATGTACTGTACTTCATTTCTTTCTGATATTACATTGTAAATGTTATAAGCAAGACAACACTACTCATGGCAACAAACCGATCATCACCCCGTACCTCTTCAAAGTCTGGAGGTAACGCTGTCACAGCAACCCAACCCCAGCCAGTCCACAAATGCCAATTCGACAGCGACAATACAAAGCTGTTTCTTCAACTCATCATTGCTGAAATAAAGTTCTTCAAACAAGTTTTTATCCAAGACCGCACCCAATTTAAAAAATATTGTCAATTCTAACAGATGTTTTGAAATTTCACTGATTATAAATGTAAAAAAAAAAAATGTAGGACAGAATATCATTTTAGCCCAAATGGAAGATTCGGATCCGCCCAATACAATCCAGTTTTGGGCTTGAAGAAACCAGTTGGAGGGAGCTTGGGCTATTCTTCAATCCAACCCAAACCCTTTCTAGCTGCTTGTGGGCTCATACACTTCTATCTATCTCTTGCCAAAATTGTTTAGCACTGTGAGGGGTATTTTTACAATATTCTTTCATCCCAAATAAACCTTTATTTGATCTTCGCTTCAGTGCCTGAAACAAGAAACACTCTGATTGAAGGTATCAGAATTAGTACTCTGATGATTAAGTCAAATTCTGGATGAAAGAAAATAGGTTAGATATTACAAAATAAGGTGAGTTTAGATTAATGTGCATACTCTTTTCCTCTATTTACCTTATTTATATAGAGGTTTGGTGTAGATTTTTCCTATGTAGTTTGATCATTTTTCATAATCATCATAATGTCATAGCCATGTTCCTATTACACCTCTGGAAAGGGATGGATTGGGCCCACCCTGATTGGGATTAGGATAGTCTGCCGAATTGCATCTAGTGCTCAGCATGAATGTTCAATTGTTGGATTAAATACTCGATATGTTACTTAGTCGGCATAGGAATTTACTCGGCACCGATCCTATGTAATTTGATGGGCCTAGTTGGCATGGTTGGACTGGGGCCCATTAGTAATGAGCCTCGAGATGCTTTGTTTACCGAATATATATTATACTCGGCTCACACAAGCAACAAACTAACTAACTAACTAGTTGTGCTAAACCCAACAACATAATTGGCTTGTGGGAAGTGTAGCCATGCTACGTATACAGAAGAAATCAAACACAAAATATATAGATGTGAAATAAAAAAATATTTGAATATATATATATATTTGATTTCTTCTGCACATAGACATTTTAATGGAAAGTTTCGTTGATAAATAAATATGATGTGATGGAATCATGGACTAATCAGTTCAATATTGAAGGAAAAAAGTCTCATTCACTTTGTTTGCCTTCAGTTTTCAGAATTTACTTTTTAGAAAATTTTACTTCTTCATTATTCATATTTTTTTTTTTTCAATGATTTTTTTTTAATATTTTAAGCAATTTTTTTAATTTTGTGAAAAAAAAACTTCAAAAAATTTACTAAATACCAAAAATATAAAAAAAAATACAAAAAATTAATATATTTTTTGTATTTTTGTATATTTATTAATTTTTTAAAATATTTTTTCACAAATATTTTATTTTTTAGACACATAAGTAAGACGCATCTAAAAAAGTAAAAAATGCTTAAAAATTTAAAAATATTCACTAAAAACAAAAAAAAAACGAAAAATAAAAAATTCAATTTTCAAAAAACTTAATTCAGAAAACTCAAACCAAACAAACTGATTAGTTTTTGAATTGTAATTTGATAGTTAAAAACTCAAAATTTGTTTATTTATGGATTTTTAAAACTTAATGCAAATTTTTTTTCAAAATTTATAATTAAATAAAATTTTAATTTTATTTATAGAATTTGGTTTGATTCAATGTTTTCAATATGCAGATTAAATATGTATTTTTATTAATCATGTTTCATGTGTCATGCTCTAAAATGTAATTTATCAAATATAGATTTATTTGATGTTCTATTATTTAATTTAATAAATCATGAATCTATTTATCTTATTAAAATTACATAATTTGTAGAACAGTTACGACCACACATGAAAAGTAATTGGGAATGAAAAAAATGAAAACTATGACACTGTTTGAACATGGTAAATACTTATACAACTGTCAATCGAAAACAATAGCAATGGTTCAGTATAGAATAAGATGAAATTAATATGCCGGATAGTAGACGTTATTGAGCAATGACAACATCATAATAAGTAGCCAACGCGCTAAACTTTTTGTTTGACGTACGATAAAATTGATCGACAAAGTAATATATTAAGGCGAAGTTTGGCGTATTATAAAAAAGTTAAAAAGTTACTTAAAAAATTAAAAAGTTAACACTATTCAGTAAAAGTCAATAATTACGGCTGCACAATTCTCAATCCTAATTTTTCTTCATAAATCAATTTTTATAATTTTTTATTACACATTTTTTTATAAAAAGTCAAAAAATTAACTCAAACATCTATATTTTCTTCCTCAATTTTTTAATCCAAAAAAATAAAAAATACACTTATTTAAGACACTCCAAATAACCCTTAATTATCAACCACATATTGTTGATTATATGAATATCTTTTTGACAAGGCAGGATATGCTTCCTCTCTACGTTTCTGCATTTTCAAACAAAAAAGAGTATTCTTATCCATCAATAGGAATGGATAAGATAATACGCTCACACGCATCACAGTCCATAATCTGTCGTGTTTTAGCGTAATCATTTAAAATCGCATATCTCTAACAACCAATAGGAATGCTCCAAACAAAAATATCCATGCTTTTTATCCACCAAAAAAAAAAATATACATGCTTTCAAATTCTATATAAATGGGTACGGTATGTCCCCATATTGAACACAACCAACTCTTAGAAAAAATATCCCCTACTCTTGGAGATGAAGATGTATCTTCCAATCCTCTTCGTCGTTTCGCTTCTCTTCTCCTACTCTCATGGTTCAGTGCTAGACTTCTGTGTGGCAGACTTCTCATTGCCCGATGGACCTGCAGGCTACTCTTGCAAGAAACCTGCTAACGTGACGGTTAATGATTTTGTTTATTCAGGTTTAGGCATTGCTGGTAACACTAGCGATCTTCTCAAAGCTGCGGTTACACTAGCATTTGTAGATCAATTTCCTGGTTTGAATGGGCTTGGCCTTTCCATGGCACGTTTAGATCTAGCCGTGGGTGGAGTTGTGCCAATCCACACGCACCGTGGAGGTTCAGAAATCATTTTTGTGGTGGAAGGAACAATTTGTGCCGGATTCATATCTTCTTCGCCCAACACTGCTTATTTTAAAACTCTTTACAAAGGGGATGTTATGATTTTCCCACAAGGCCTATTGCATTTTCAATTCAACACTGGAAATATACCGGCTCTTGCGATTGTTAGCCTCAATAGCCCAAACCCAGGTGTCGACTTCACTGATATTGCGTTGTTTGGCAACAATTTGCCTTCTGCAATAGTGGAGAAGGTAACTTTCCTTGATGATGCTCAGGTCAAGAAGCTCAAGGCTGTTTTTGGTGGCACTGGTTAAGAAAGGCCTTTGAAGACTATTTATGTTTATTGTTATTTTTTATTACAATAATGCTACGGGTCAGGAAATGTTTATAAGGAAATGGATCATGAATGAGTTGGCATTGACCAACTCATCTTGGTGCAGCCCCCATATGTTATTAATAAATAAATAAATAAATAAATAAGAGAAGTTGGAAAGACTAAAGAGAGAGAAAGTTGAATGCCTTCTATATATCTCTTGATGAGCGCTGGCCATTTTCACTCAATTTAAAATTATCCACACTCATTAAAAAATATTTTAATTTTTTAAATATTTTAAATATTTAAACATTTTAAAAATATTTTAATTTTGTTAAGATTTTAAATATTTTAATATTTAAATATGTTACGATTTTTTTAATTTTTTAATTTTTTGAATATTTTTAAATATTTTAATTTCAAAATATTACGATTTTACTTTTTTAAATTTTAAAATATTTTATAAAAATAAATTCAAACTCTATTTTATAAAAATATTTTTGTCAATTCCATACTCAATTCAAAATTCAATTCAACACTCTTTTCAAAAATCATAACTAAACAAATTTTCTATACTCAAATCATAATTCCACAACTCACAAATTCAAAATACAACTCATACTCTCAAATCACATTTACAAAACTCTACCAAACGCAACCTTTATTTTTGTCATGCTCTTATTGATATTGTTACTAGCAACTCCTCATTGACTTTTTCTTAATTTTTAATGACAAACATAACCTGTTAATGGGCTTGGTTGAGATCACAAATTAAAGAACAAATAAAATTTATTCATAATGAAGAAAAAAATTCTTAATGGTAATTTACTCATAATGTGGAAAAAAAAAATCACATTTCATGATAAAAAAAACTTCAATGTTCCACAATAAACTCTAATAATTGATAATGCTTAAATGTAATAATTCAACTATATAATCCAACACAAAAATTATTGTGTTTTAACAAATAAGTCTCTCAAAATGTAATATAAACATTCTCAATAAACTTTTAAAAAAAAAGGCAACAAATGTCTAAGCAACCCTGTCATGTAGACATTTTCAACTTCTACCATTTGTGTCCTCTTCTGGATTGTTAGTCTGTGATTGTACTATGTCATTCAACATTTTTGTGAAACTTGAATGTTCGAATATCAAAGATGGAGATGGATGATGATGCCCCTATCAAAAAAAATAAAATATATTAAATTTTCATAAAACCATGTAAATAAATACATACTAGAATATTACGTACTTGGTATGACAAGTTTTCTTGAAATATGTTTTGTTGCTCTAAACTTGGACCCAATATTTCAGATTCCTGCCATATAAGAAGCAATTAGACAATCCAACTATAAATAAATCATATAATTATAAAGTTAATGAATAAAATAAATTTCTTACATTCACTTGAATACTCTCTTGTGTACCAAGATCAACAAGTCCTATATTTGAAGATGCACCAAACTCGGATTGCTGCAAAATATAAAATTTGAAAGTTAACAAAATAATAGTTTTTTTTTTAATAGTAAATTAACTCATTCAAATAATTTTCACACCTCTACACTTCCTCGGATGTTGATGGTCTTTTTCTTGGTATTTGCTCCTTTCTTCTTCTTGTTAACAACTTTTTCAACCATGGATTGTTTCCTTTTACATGGTGGCCTCCCCTTTTGACGTAAAGCGACTGGGTCAAGTATGATTCTACTCTCCTTTGACTTCGAAACACCATCTCCATGAGTGGTTGAATTATGATGATTACTCACAAAACTAGACTTATTATTTCCATAATCAATTTCAACTTCTTTTTTCAATTTCCCTTTTAGTTCAAGTAACTGTTCGACCACCATATCACACCTATTTTCATAATCAGTTGCCAAATCAGCCACATCATTGAAGACATTGAACATTTTATTATACCGACGTGTTTCAGGCAACATTGAAGAGTTGTTATAATTGATGATCACTTTACTATGGCACCTTTTCACATTTTTGTTCCATCTTCTTAAAATGTACTTGTCTGATATCTCATGAACCCTTTCTTTCATTTATACCACAATTTGATGTCTGCACACTATTCCCCTAAACTCGAACAGTCGACAACTACAATTTGTGTCAAAGTTTTCCTTATCAAAATAGACAATGAAAGTTGCTAATCGAAAGTTCTCTCCAAATGGAACATCTTCACTCACTTCATATACAGAAAAATCAGGACCTTGTGTATACAAAGATAAATTGCAATGAAGCTGTCCTACAACCTCCTGTTGGAACTCCTTAAATTTTGCAATAGTGTAAGCTTTTTGAAATTGCTTCTCAAATGGATACTGAGTTATGCATGTGATGTATGAGTTGAGAGAATTAAATTCTTCACCATTTTCATTTTCCACCTTCTTCGCCAAAGCATTCTCATATTGCTCCACAAATTGTTTCAAAGTGATTTTTGAGTTGATGTACCCATCAAAGAATGCGTGCATGCTTTTACTTCGTTGTGTGGTTGACATTCCCGCCCAAAAAATATCTTTGACAAATGCAGGTACCCATTGATATCTATCCTCAAACAATCCAAATAACCATTCATTGCCTTCAAGTTGATAATTCTCTATCAATTTGTTCCAATTTTCTTCAAACTCCTTTTTTGTTAAGGAATCATAAACTGCATTTTGTATACCAAATTTTATTGCCTCATATTCTATGTATCCTTTTAATTTTTCAGGTAATTTTTTCAAGATATGTCACAAACACCATCGATGACGCACATTAGGGAAAACAATTTGTGTAGCATTTTTCATGGCTTTATCTTGATCTATAATAATAGCATTTGGAGGACATCCAAGCATGTATGCAAGCCAAGACTTAAACAACCATGTAAATGTTTCTGTATTTTCATGTGAAATGAGTCCACAACCTAACAATGTCGACTGTCCATGATGGTTGACCCCAATAAATGGGGCAAAGGGCATATCATACTTATTTACCAAGTATGTCGTGTCAAATGTAACCACATCGCCAAACTCTTTAAATGCAGCCCTACTCCTTGCATCAACCCAAAATACATTTAGTAATTTGCCATCTTCATCCAAATCTAGGACATAAAAAAATTCTGAATTATCAGCTTGCATTTTCACAAAATAATCATACATTGCAGTGGCATCTCCTTTCTCGAGTTTCAAACGACGAACTTTGTCCATATGATTCCTATAATCTTTCTCTAAATATGACAACTTCTCATGCCCTCCAGCTTCAAGCACAAGTGAAGTAAAATTTTTGTTCATCCTAATTCCTGCACTATCATTTAATTCAAGTCTCCTTTGCACATGTGGTTCAAGAATCCTATTTTTCTTGAAAAAACAAGATTTGCTTGGACTCATTTCTGTTGGAAATGGTAGAAAAATTCTGGGTAAAACCAGAATTTTTTCTCAAGTTTGGTATATTTTTTTGGTGGGCCCCGAGTGTCGATTTACTCAGGTCAAAGCGGTAACGCGTTCTATGCCGCGTTGTGATTCACGTGGTATATTTGGTTGCTCAAAACCATTACCGAGTGAATGGGAAATTGAAACCAAAGTGTGCTCCATGGAAATGGAGTTTTGGTGGAAATTCCTTAAGGTTGTAAATTGGCTTGTCCCACATTGATTTGGTGGGAAGTTTTGAAAGGGTTTATAAGGCTTGGGTTAGATACTTGGGGTGTGCCTCAAGGGGTACCCAAGTGTTTTAGAGGGAGAGGTTATGGGCAAAATGGGCTACACCCATTGGACCCAAAAATCACCACACACGCGCGCGCCACCACCGCCGTCCGTCCGGTCGGGCGGGCTGGGCATGGTGTGTGGTTGGGTTGGGCTTCTAATCTTTTTGGGCAAAAAACACCAAATCAGTTTATGTAAATTTCTGGATTTTATTTTACCAAAAAATAAAATAAAATTCAAAAT